GATTTGGAATGCCTTTTATTTCTTTGTGTTGTCTGATTGCAGAGGCTAAGACTACCAATACTATGTTGAATAACAGTGGTGAGAGTGGACATCCCTGTCTTGTTCCTGACCTTGGGGGGATAGCTTTCAGTTTCTCCCCATTGAGGATGATGTTAGCGTTGGGTGATTCATATATGGCTTTTATGATCTTGAGGTATGCTCTTCTATCCCTGCTTTCTTGAGGGTTTTTATCAAGGAAGGATGCTGTATTTCGTCAAATGCTTTCTCTGCATCTATTGAGAGGATCCTATGGTTCTCGTCCTTTCTTTTATTGATGTGATGAATCACGTTAATTGTTTTGCGGATATTGAACCAGCCCTGCATCCCAGGTATAAATCCCACTCGGTCATGGTGAATAATTTTTGTAATGTATTGTTGGATCCGGTTGGCTAATATCTTGTTGAGGATTTTTGCATCCATATTCATCAGGGAAATTGGTCTATAGTTCTCCTTTTCAGTGGGGTCTCTGTCTGGTTTTGGAATCAAGGTAATGCTGGCATCACAGAAAGAGTTTCATAGAAAGGAGTTTACCTTCCATTTCTATTTTTTGGAACAGCTTCAAGAGAATAGATGTTAACTCTTCCTTAAATGTTTGGTAGAATTCCCCTGGAAAGCCATCTGGCCCTGGACTCTTGTTTTTTTGGCAGATTTTTGATTACTAATTCGCTTTCCTTACTGGTTATGGGTCTGTTCAAATTTTCTATTTCTTCCTGTTGCAGTTTTGGTAGTGTATATGTTTCTAGGAATTTGTCCATTTCTTCCAGATTGCCCTTTTTATCGGCATATAATTGTTCATAATATTCTCTTATTATTGTTCTTATCTCTGCTGTGTTGGTTGTGATCGTTCCTCCTTCATTCTTGATTTTATTTATTTGGGTGCTTTGCTTTTCTTCATGATCAAACTGGCTAGTAGTTTATCAGTTTTGTTAATTCTTTCAAAGCACCAGCTTCTTGTTTCATTGATCTGTTCTACTGTTTTTTTGGCTTCGACAGCATTAATTTCTGCTCTAATCTTTATTATTTCCTGCCTTCTGCTGGCTTTGGGTTTTATTTGCTATTCTTTTTCCAGCTCCTTAAGGCATAAAGTTAGGTTGTGTATATGAGATCTTTCGTCCTTCTTTAGGAAGGCCTGGATTGCTATATACTTTCCTCTTATGACTGCCTTTGCTGAGTCCCAGAGGTTTTGGGTTGTGGTGTTACCATTTTCATTGACTCCCATATACTTTTTGAATTCCTCTTTAACTTCTCGGTTAGCTCATTCATTCTTTAGTAGGATATTCTTCAGTCTTCAAGTATTTGCTACCTTTCCAAATTTGTTCTTGTGGTTGATTTTGAGTTTCATAGTGTTGTGGTCTGAAAATATGCACGGTATGATCTCAACCTCTTTGTACTTACTTAGGACTGATTTGTGTCCCAGTGTATGGTCTTTTCTGGAGAACGTTCCATGTGCACTGGAGAAGAATGTATATTCTGTTGCTTTAAGATGAAATGTTCTGAATAGATCTGTTAAGTCCATCTGGTCCAGTGTGTCATTCCAAACCATTGTTTCCTTGTGGATTTTTTGATTAGATGATCTGTCCGTTGCTGTGAGTGGGGTGTTGAAGTCTCCTACTATTATGGTATTACTATCAATGAGCTTCTTTATGTTTGTGATTAATTGATTTATATATTTGGGTGCTTGCACGTTTGGCGCCTAAATGTTTACAATTGTTAGATCTTCTTGGTGGATAGATCCCTTGATTTGATATAATGCCCTTCTGCATCTCTTGATACAGTCTTTATTTTAAAGTCTAGATTGTCTGATATAAGTATGGCTACTCCAGCTTTCTTTTGTTGACCATTAGCATGATAGATGGTTCTCCATCCCCTTATTTTCAATCTGAAGGTGTCTTTATGTCTGAAGTGGGTCTCTTGTAAACAGCATCTAGATGGGTCTTGTTTTCTTATCCATTCTTTTACTCTATGTCCTTTGATTGGAGCATTGAGTCCATTGACATTTAGAGTGAGTACTGAAAGATAGAAATTTATTGCTGTAATGATGCTTGTAGAGTTGGAGTTTCTGGTGGTGTTCTCTGGTCCTTTCTAATCTTTGTTGCATAAATTTTTTTTTTTCATCTCTTCTCCCCTCAGAGAGTCCCCCTTAAAATTTCTTGCAGGGCTGGTTTAGTGGTCACAAACTCCTTTAATTTTTGTTTGTCTAGGAAACTTTTAATCTCTCCTTCTCTTTTGAATGACAGCCTTTCTGGATAAAGAATTCTTGGCTGCATATTTTTCTGATTCAGCACACTGAATATATCCTGCCACTCCTTTCTGGTCTGCCAAGTTTTTGTGGATAGGTCTGCTGCAAACCTGATCTGTCTTGCCTTGTAGGTTAGGGACTTTTTTTCCCTTGCTGCTTTCACGATTCTCTCCTTGTCCGAGTATTTTGTGAATTTGACTATGATATACCTTGTTGATAGTCAGTTTTTGCTGAATCTAATGGGGGTCCTTTTTGCATCCTGGATTTTGATGTCTGTGTCTTTCCCCAGGTTAGGAAAGTTTTCCACTATGATTTGCTCACATAACCCTTCTACCCCTATTTCTCTGTCTTTCTCTTCTGGGACCCCTATGATTCTGATGTTCCTTTTTAATGAGTCACTGATTTCTCTAATTCTTAAATCGTGCTCTTTTGCCTTAATCTCCCTCTTTTTTTCTGCTTCATTATTCTCTATAAGTTGTCCTCTGTATCGCTGATTCTCTGTTCTGCCTCGTCCATCCTTCCTGCCGCTGCATCCATCCGTGATTGCAGTTCAGTTACAACATTTTTTATTTCATTCTATTTTTTACTTCTTTTATCTCTGCAGAAAGAGATTCTAATCTGTCTTCTACTCCAGCTGGTATTCTTATTATCGTGATTCTAAATTCTAGTTCAGACATCTTGCTTATATCTGTGTTGGTTAAATCCCTCTCTGTCGTTTCTTCGTGCTCTTTCTTTTGGGGTGAATTCCTTCGTGTTGTCATTTTGAAAGGAGAAAAGGAATTAATGAGGTAGAAAAATTAAAATTATAAAAATGTTAAAATTAAAATATTAAAATTAAAAAATAAACACACACACACACAAAATCTAATAAATGATGCTAGATCCTGGGTGTGTTTTGGTCTGGGTGTTGATAGTGGTGTGACATAGGAAAAAGGGGGGGGAGGAAATCATTTGAGAATTTGAAAAAATGAATACACTGATGTAGACTAAAATGAGATAATGGGAGTAAAATAGAATTTGAAAAAAATTACACAAAAGTAAAGAATATAGTAGGAAGAAAATTAAAAATATTTCTAATAAAAATTAAAAATGAATTTTTTTCTCTTTCTATATTCAAGAGAAAGAAAAAAAAGGAAATCTTTTGTGAATACAATGTGGTAGACTAAAATAAAATGATGGAAGTAAAATAGAATATGAAAAATTTACCTAAAAGTAAAAACTATAGTAAGAAAAAATTAAAAATGTTTTTAATAGAAATTGAAAGTAAAAATGAAGTTTTTCACTGTCTGCATTCAAGAAAAAGAAATGAAAAAAGAAAACACGGAAATTGTTTGAAAATTTGAAAAGCTGAATACACTGAAGTAGACTAAAATAGAATGATGGAAGTAAGGTAGAATTTGAGAAAAGTAAAGTATATAGTAAAAAAATTAAAGGAAATATTTTTAATAAAAATTGAAAATAAAAATGAATTTTTTGTCTTTCTGCTGAATTCTGTGGTTCAGGTTGTACAGATTGTTGTGTTAATCCTCCAGTCAGTTTTCTAGGTGTGTAGGATGGTTTAGTGTTGGTCAGGCTGTATTTCATGGACGCGAGGCTCACAAAGAACTTCGATGCTGTTCTGCCATCTTGCCTTCTCTCCATAAGAGACTTTTAAATACAGATAACAAACTGAGAGCTGTTGGAGAGATGTTGGGTTGGGGGATGGGCCAAATGGGTGATGGGCATTAAAGAAGGCATTTGTTGGGATGTGCAATGGGTGTTATATGTAAGTGATGAATCACTAAATTTGACTCCTGAAATCATTGCACTATGTGTTAACTAACTTGAATTTAAATAGAAATTTTTTTAAAAATTTGATCTCTTTGCTAACTTAGAATGTAACGCTCTTGTCTAGGGAAGCATTTTGTTCTCTGAGATGATACAAACTCTAATTGTTAAAAATGTGGGTGCTGGGACCAGAATACTTGACTTCACATCTTTATTCTTCCACTGCTTAGCTGTGTTCCTTGGAGCATTGTGCCTCCTCTGTAAAAGATAGAATTGTATTTGGTAAAGGAAATAACTGTTACCTACCTCAGAAGGTTTTTGTGAGAGTTGCACAAGGTACAAATGTCAAGCATTTAAAATAGTGTTAAATGTCCAATTTATATTGGCCACTGTTGTCTTTACAATTATTATTAGAGAAAGATCACTGATGGAGTTAGGAGACCATCATTCCCCAAATTGGGTTGGACATCTGAGTTCATCTTTGGGGCCTAATCCTAGACAGGTGATTGGACAGATGGTGGTGATTAAAATGAGTGCTCATGCACAGAAGTACGCTGAGTGCTCATAGGCCCCAGGGGGCCTTATAGGCCTTAGGACATTGTTATTGACCCTGAATGATCAAAGAGAGGATTATAGTTTCTAAAACTCTAGGGAACTTTGAGAGCTTTTAGGAATGCCTAGTTGGATTGTAAATTGGTACAACCACTTCGGAAAACAGTTTAGCATAATTATGTGGTAAAGTTGAGATTGGTGAACCTTGTAGTCTGGCCATTTCACTCCTGAGTGTTTAACAGAAAACTTGAGCAGGATACCTCTACAACAGTTATTATAGCAGTATTGCTCTTAATACTTCCCCAACTAGAAATAACCTACAAGTCTAACAGAATGGATAAATAAGTCATGGTATTCACACACTGGAAAGCTGGATAGCAGTGAAAATGAACAGAAGAGAGCTACACACAACAATATGGATTAAACTTAGAAATATAAACAAGTGAAAGAAGGAAAGCATGGAAAAGCACCTACAGTTTGATTCTATTTGTACAAAGTCTAAAGCAGGCAACACTAAACTACATTATTAAATACTTTCAAAGGTAGCAATTACAAAGAAAAGTAAGTAAATGATTACTGTAAGTGTCAAGAATAGTAGTTATTTCTAGGGCAGTGCTTCTCAAATTTTAGTGAGCCTCAGAATCAACCTGGAAGGCTTATAAAATGAGATTCTGATTCAGTAGGTCTGGGCTGAGGCCTAAGGGTCAGCATTTTCACCAAGTTCCCAGGTGATGTCGATGCTGCTTCTTTGGAGACCACACATTGAGAACCGCTGCTTCAGGGGTTAAAAAAAAAAAAAAAAAAAAAAGGCAGGGAGGTTATTGGGAAGAGCCACGCAGAGGTTTTGTGGATTCTACTTCTTGACATGGGTGGTGGTTAATGCCTGTTTTCTTCACAACTATGCGTTCTGTTGTATATTTTTGTTTTAGGCACTTTTCTCTATGTGTTGTCTGTATGCTCTGCCTGTAATTGACTTTTTTTTTTTAAGGGTATTTCTATAATTTAAGATTGTGGTTGGTGTTAGAGGAATGGTGAGATAATTAACTTTAGGGAATTCCTCATTGTCCTAAGGCTTTGGTGTGGCTGGTATGATATGTTATAATGTATCTTGGCACATAACTTAGTTTTTTTATATTTGTTTTCTTAGGTACAAGACTGTCATGTTCTAAAATATACTCCAAAGGAAAACCATGATGGAAAAATGGCAGCCCTAACTGTAGGAGGAAAAACTGTGTCACGTTTCTATGTAAGGATGTATTTTCATTCTTTAGAATAGTACATTTCATTAGCTTCAGATCTGAATTCTTTAAGTTTTAAGGCTATTCCATAGTCACAAACTTGTGTTTGTCCGTGTGGTAAATTGTGGATTTGGGGTGGAGGTAGTTTGTTGAAGCCCTTGAGCCCAGGATTCTCTATTTTTCCAGTTCCTCTCTTTCGTATTTGGAACAAGTAACTTTACCCTCCATGCTGAAGTATTTACCCATCTGTACAATGGGGATAAAAATACTACCTACCTAAGAGATTTGTTACCAAGATTAATGAGATTTTTCGTATGTGTCTTCTACAAAGACACATGGAAGAGGGTATTTGTGCTTGGGAAGAGAGGTGTGGTGTAGGAGATCTTAGTGTGTGAGTGTGGGGGAAGGTAGTTAAGGTGCAAAGGTACACCTGTCTGGGTAGAGTGCTGAAGGGTTTAGACTTCATCCTGTAGACTCCCAAGCACTTTCTAAATTCTTTTAAAAAAAAAAAATTTTTTTTAATGTTTATTTTTGAGACAGAGCATGAGTGAGGGAGGGGCAGAGAGACAGGGAGACACAGAATCCGAAGCAGGCTCCAGGCTCTGAACTGTCACCACAGAGCCCCATGTGGGGCTCGAACTCATCAACTGCGAGATCATGACCTGAGCCGAAGTTGGATGCTCAACCAACTGAGCCACCCAGGCACCCCAAGAGCTTTCTTAATTCTTTAACTGTGGCAGTAATGTGGTCAAGTCGTTATCCTGGTTAACTAGATAAGAAGAATCTGGATGCAAGGAGGACATTTAGGAAGTTGTTTTAAGCTCTGGGAAGAGTGGATAAAAGGCTTTGAGCCAAGGCAGTTGCATTGGGCTTGGAGGAGACAGGGATTTAAAGAAGACTGGGTGAGTATATGGTGAGGGGACGCAGGCAGAGAGTGGTTCCTAAGCGAGCACCTGGTTCATTGCTAATGCTGTAACCTGAAATAGCAACAAGGAAAGAGGAAGTTTTGGAGGAAAGAAGTGTGTGCGGCGTTTATAGAAAATTCAGGTGGGGTTGTCCCGTAAATAGTGGGATATACTGATCAGTGAATTCAGTTATATGGTTAAAACCATATAGAATCATCAGAGTCCTATAGTTTGGTAGGACTAGAGTCCATTTAGGCCTGTCTCATAAGTGTTAGAGAAGTTAGTTACCTTTGCATATTATACTAGTATAGCCTATTTATATATATTTTTAGTTCTGCTAAAAATTCTGCTATTCACTCTTGACAATGTATTGGCTAATAATTTTAGGATTTAAAATAATTTCACAGTAATGAAAAGCACAGTGAGGTATTTATGGAAACTTTTTTTAGATGTCAGATTTTTTTCAAATGTTTGAATATTTTAAATGTATGTATGCTAGTCTTCATGTGAATAATTGTTTGATACATGTTTTCTCGTTGATTGTACTTCTGTGTTTTTGTTATGTCTAGCACCATCATCTTTATTTTCATTACCAATTTTGTAAATTCATGACTTTATCGCCTTGATACTTGTAAATCAAACATAAAATTGGGATAACCACTCTGCTCCAACAGATCTGTGAACATTACTTCCCAGAACTGTGAGCCAGTGGAAAAACAAGTGGATGTGGGGTCAGAAGAGCTGAGTTCTAATTCTCACTTCTACCATTAGCTCCTCCCTTCACTCTACTTTCTTGAACATCTGTTTTCTTATACATAAAAACAGGGAATTGGACTTGATGGCTGCTAATCCTCTTTTGGTTCTAAAAGTCTCACATTAACTCTCAAATATTTTAGTTCTCAAGGAAAAACAAAAGTTCCCCCCAAAAATGTATTTGGCAACTCATTTTATTCTATTTTACTTAATGAAGAAGGTGTCTTATAGATAAGATTTTATTAGCATAATACTAATAATTAAAATATTTCAGAAATGGTAGTACTACATTTTCATACTTGAGACTGTGGTCTACACATTTTAAGCTTTATTCTCTTTCGTGAGTATACCGCACAGCAAGGTGATTTGGATGCTCTATTGTGTTGTGGAGGATTTCCACCCACTTACCTTGCACAGATTTTATTTACTCTCTGGTATAGGAAGTGCTACAGAGACCTTTCATGCTTTTCAAGATATAAATTTTCTAGGTCCAGAGAACATGTATTAAATACTAAGAAAAATCTTTGTCTTTGACCTTTTTTTAGAGTGAGGTGTGAAAATGAAGTTTTAGAATTCTTTATAAGTAAAGAATTTTGGTTCAGAAAGGAAAAAGATTTTCAAACCTAAAAGTAAGCAGACTTCCTTTTGCGTATTGTATCCCTCAGAGAAACTGCAAGTACGTTGGTTATAGAAGGTTTTAAAAACAAATACACCGATGAATATAAAATCTCAACTAGTTAAGCATTCTAAAATGATTGAATCAGTTTTATTTATAATAGGGCTAGAACTGTTTTGGGTTGTTTTTTTTTTTTTTTTTTTTTTTTTTTTTTTTTTTTAACTCTGTAAAGACTTTTTTAGGCCTCCCAGAAATTAGACTGTTTTGCTTTTGCTGTTTTTGTAGTTTATTGTAAATAAAAACATAGTGTTTTTGAATAAGGAAGTTAAGTGGCCTTAAAAGTTGATCGAATCAATTCATCTTAGGAGCACAGAAGCATTTTCATTGTGAGAGGGATAATTGCAAAGAACTTTGAAGAGGGAGACAAAAAATGCAGCTTCATAGATGGGATTATCCGAGTGTGACATTGCTGTCAGTCTTTTAAATTGCCTTTTGAAATCATTTATTTGGAAGTCAAAAAAAAAAAAAAAAAAAAAAAAGCCTTGTGTTACACCACTGCTGCTTTCAGCTCAACTTGAGCATTTGGTGTTTTTCACAAACAATACCTAATTAGTTTTATGATATTTTGATTTTTAAAAGAAAAAATTAAAGTATTCAATTTTACTGAAATTAAAAGATAATCAAGAAGTATGTTATGTATTATCTTTTATGTTTCAGTCTGTAGTTACTTAGGTCAAGATGTTTATCTTTATTTTGTGTTGCTGAAAAGTAAAAGATTTTTCTTAGAAGCTTCCTCGCATACTTAGAAGCTATTAATAAAATGCTTTTTAAATCATCAGGTAGAATATGTGAATGTCAAATAAATTTGAAATCTATTCTAAAATGTAATAAATCTAAATCTGAACATCAGTAAAATAATTGCAAGGAGCCACATTTTTATTCTTTTTTTTTTTT